GCTAGGCTGCATGGATGCGCAGGGAGTTCTTGCCCAGAACGGAACCATACCGACAAACCAAGCTGTATGCTAGTTGTCAATCATCTGTGACGATAGTGGTCCTGACAGAAAACTATTTAAAATATGGCCAATTCTGATCAATCACCAATTTAGCACAGGTGGAGCATGTTCAGATAATCAACTAAGTTAGCACGATAGTAATGCTGCGTTCCAGAAAATGTCAGAAAAGGGAACATACGAGTTGAAAAGTCCCACTTTCAACTTCAGTTGAAGTCATGAGTTCCAGTCAATCGCACATCACGTTAACATATCTCTGTCAAAGAAAAAAAACCAAACAAAATACTGCCTTTAGTTTTGAAAACAGCTGATGAAAAGCTAAAATTAAGGTATTATAAACGTAATGTCTAATGTTTTTAAGTTTGACATAAGGTAGCTCCTTGGAACACTATGCTCGTTGGAAGCAGTGACGTCAAATTACGCTTTGTTGAGGTCGGGGTAGATCAATCTGCCCTGAGTTCACAGGTCGGATATCCGACTTCAAGCAGTGTTCCATACGTTATTTCCAAGTAGGAGGTGGGGAAAATCCTAATTTTGAGTTGTCTGGAACGCAGCATAAATATATATACAGCCAACTTACCATTATCTAACAAGAGTTTTTTGGCATCCCTCCTCTACCCCAACTGCTCACTCCTAACTATTTCTATCCCAGCTTGGGATATGGGGGAGTCCTCTGGGTTTGGGCTAAATTTAGAGCTCGGATCCCTCCACTCAGACAGCATGCGAAATATTCATACTGTTTGCTGTATTTGATTATATGTAAGTGCAAACTCGTGAATTTTGGTTAGAACAGGGGTGTCCAATCCTGCTAATGGAAGGCCACTGTCCAACAAAGTTTAGCTCCAACCCCAGTTAAACACACTGAACCAGCTAATCAAAGTCTTACCTGGCATACTAGAAACGTCTAGGCAGATATGTTGAGGCAAGTTGGAGCTACATTTTGCAGGACAGTGGCCCTCCAGAACTGAGTTTAGGCACCCCTGGTTTAGAATGTTGGCCATATAGGCAGTAGATGTTAGATCACTAGGTTTTAAAACACTTGTATGTCATCCTTGTTCCTTAAATAAGACATGCTTATAAACGAAATGTTACTGGTAAAAGATCCTAAAGATTAATTTATGAGCTGACTCTTCAACAGAATTTGTGATCAGTTAGCAGACACAACAAAAGCACAAAGAAATGGCATTTTTCAAGAGCTTCCAACAGAGCCTTCCTTCTGTCAGTTCCCTCCTGGACACTGTCTCAAACACCGTCT